ATTGAAAGCTGTATGTATGTATGATTTTTTTCTTATTGCAACAAAACAATAGACACTTCGTAAGGGACATTTTATTCTAAACGTTTCGATACAGTAGTTCCTGCAATGTAGCTACAGTAGGTCAATGGTGAGGACCGTTAAGGTGGGGAGGGGGGATGATTGAAAGGTGGTGACATTCATGTTACCCCAATCAGTTTTATATACAGTTTGGTATTGTTTTGTAAACTTTAGTATGTAGATTAAAATGTCGAGTATTTACTTTATGTTGAGTGTCTATTGTGTTCTGTTTTATAAAAGAAACATTTTTCTTTGTCTGGAAAGTTTTACGTTATATGGATGATGGTAAAGTATTTCTTAGTTTTTTATCAGCACTGTTCCCCCAAAGTCACAAATAAAGTCGTTTGTTTTTCACGTGGATATTTCAACAACGTGACTCGATCCTGCCGTTATCAATTTGCTATAGCTACGTCTAGTGGCGCAGCCAGCCGAAAATTTAGTCCTGCAATATAAACATTCGGGTGTTCAAACATTGTAAAAGAATGGATTTCTAATGAAATGAATTGTGTCAATGATCTGAAGTTTACAAACACGACCAAAACTTGCAGCCCACCGAACTTAGACTGATATAAGTTATCTTGTTTCTCGTGATTTGGGATTTTTTGTTTTTTGAATTCCTTCAAATTCTAATAATTATGCTTTTTATTATGTTTCTAGGATAAGAAAGCACATTTGGTTATTCATGCGTACGTAGATCAAGTAATGGAAGGTTTAGCAAGACTTTTGAACTTCACGATACCCCCTTATACTCCTATATCACCCTTTAAGGACATCGATGCTCCACCAGTACTGTTGGATTCTTTAAAAATCGAGTTTCCAGTGAAGACTGAGATCACAAAGCAGAAACTGTTGAAAGACAAACATGTTTCATCAGTATCTTGGAGTAAACCTAAATTTGAAAATGAATCGAAGAACTCTTTTGATGAAAAGAATGGAGAAAAATGCGTTGAACTAGAGTCGGAATTGTTGACAGTTGTACGTGAAAACGAAACGGGTGGAGTTGACAATCCGCCAAAAGCTGTCGAAACTTCAACTGTAGATACTCGAAATGAAACTGATGACATTTGTTCTTCAGTAAAACGAGAAAACGTATGTTTGAAGGAAAGAGGAGATTATTCTGCGAGTGAAACGCCGATAAAGAGGACCAAATGTAATTAAAGAGATTCATGTAATTGTTAGTAAAATTACAAGTAAACAAACATAAAACTATTAGTAGGGCCATTAATATAAAATTACTTTATATAAGGTCCTTTAATTTATTTATTTATTCTAACGATTCTAAAGGCCTTTAATTTATTCTAACTGTTCGAAGGGAGCACAGAATAAAAACAACCAGTAGTCCCACTTTGCTGTGCAACTTGGTGCTGTATATTTAATTAGATTACCTGAGCGCTTCTATTGGTCAGAAAATGCAGTTTACTGGCTGCCACTATGCTTATCACTTGCGTAATAAGATATACGCTCACAAAAAATTCTATTGAGTGGGACTACTGTTTGTTTCTATACTGTGAAGGGTGCTTTAATGGCTACGAAGGTGTCGAAAGTATAAAACGGACGTCTATAGGCCGTTTATTGGCTCGTATACGGTAAGTGATATTTTTTGAAATTTTATTTAGTATACCGGAGAAAATTTTCAAAGCATCGCTTTTAAGACATTTATGTTGAGCAGTCGTGTTTCCACGAAGAATTCGTTGACAACTCAGAAAGTATATTGTTACAATTAAAATGACGATAACAATAGAATATTGTTGAAAGTGTAATGCTACATATAATAGTAGTGGACCTGGGGTGTATAATATACACCTAATTACCATCAAACCACCTCAGCATTTGAGACCCTTTGAATTCGAACTGTCGCCCACGACCAGGCGAACTAACCGTGGTTTCATCCCTAATATCATCAGGTGCTCGTACCAGTCCTTTTGCTTTGAGTATCGACCACAACATTGAGTCTTTGTCAGTGAGATAGTCAACGTGTTCAAGAAGTTTGCTGGATTTATCTTCTATTATCAAGGTAGTTATTTTGTTTTTTTGATTGCTTATCGTTCGTGTGATATATAGATTCTGAGTGGAAACAATTTATGGTCGTAGAAAGACGCACACGGTTAAATAATCCGTGGGATGAGCTATAGTATATGAAACTCAGTGATTTTAGTGACTTACAACATTTCTCACTTATGGAAACTGATCTAGTTCCAAGCTCAGCAATAGCTTGATGTACAAACTTTATGCTCCAGTATCCATTAAGAGTAGAGTTAAAAGTTCTTTTTGCAAGAGAATTTGCATGATGCCTTCTTATATAAATTATAGTTAGTTGCAAGTTGCAACAAAAATTCTACGTGCTGTGCGGTTGCTATAAGGTTGAAGTACTTGTAGAGCTAGTGTGATTTGTGAGTGAAAAGTATTTACCAACATCATGTAAATTTTTGGCGTAGTTAATTAATTTCTCCTAAAATTGATAACATGGTTGTATTTTAAGTATAAATATAATTCTTTATCCATGGCCGTATTGAAAGCTTTATTTTGGGCAGTTATATTTATACTTAGAGTTTGCTTTCCGCCTGGCAGATCCATTGTCACAATGTTGTATTTTGGATCAATAGAAATTCTTTCATTATTCATTACAGGATCCAATCAAGATGATCAACGATATGCAGTTAGCTGTGTTTTCAAACTTTCTTGGTATCATCCTGTTTCTACTTGTGGTATTGTATCATTATGTTGCTGTTACTGAAACCAAAAAGAATGATGGTGAGTTTGTTTTGATGGTAGTTTAATGATGTTGTTGTAGTATTCTTGACTGAGCCAATTAGTGGAAAAGAAACAAAATTTGTACTCTTACAATGCAAATCTTACATCAAAATTATTAAGTTCTTTTGGAAATTAATTCCATTTGTTGTTTTTCCACCAAATGAATGCAAAATATCTGCATTATAAGGATAAAAAATGGGCTGTTTTACTGCATGAGCTTATGCCTTGAGATCTGCCAAGTAGTGCACTTTCACTTCAAGTTGTTAAGCAGGAATTATATAATGCGACAAAACACTGGGCACTTGGGTGCATTTGTGCCCCTAAGTCTGCCACTAGGTTGCTCAGCCTTCCACCCTTAAGGTCTTGGTGTAACCAAACACATTCTGCAGTCTGGGCCTTGAAATTTTTTACTCCTTTGTTTGCAGAGTTGAAGAGAATTTAGTGGTCAGAATGACTTACTGGAGAAGGACAAAAATTTGTAAAAGTAAAGATTTTGAATAAATGAATTAGTTTGATATTGATTTTCCGTTTGTCTTCAAGCTTGCAAAATACATCATCTGAATTTTAAATTTTTAAACAAGAAAAAGTTTTGAAAAATTTATCATTAAATTAATGCTGCAAAGGCAAAGTTGGGCCGCACGTTTCTTCATGCTATGTAAATTCTTATTGCTCACTCCCTATAAAAACGCACAGATGTCAACTTCCGTTAAAATCTAGACATAAAGATAGAAATAAAAGGTAGACATGAAGGTAGACATTAAGGTAGACATTAAGATGGACATAAAGGTCATTATAAAGGTCAATATAAAGGTAGACATTAAGGTAGATATAAATTTAGACATTAAGGTAGACATAAGGGTAGACATAAAGGTAGACATTAAGGTAGATGTAAAGGTAGACATAAAAGTAGACGTAAAGGTAAACATAAAGGTAGACATAAAAGTAGACATTAAGGTAAACATAAAGGTAGACATAAAGGTACGCATAAACTACAATTCTAAAAGAATACATGAACGACAATTCAAACACGACGACATGAACATGGTCATTGCGAAAGTCATAGTTTTTTTAAAATTTTTTTGCAAAGACAATAGTCCATGATTTTTCATGTCAAAGACTAAGTCCATGACTTTTTACGCCAAAGACTATAGTCCATGATTTTTCACGCCAAAGACTATAGTCCATGATTTTCCCGCCAAAGACTATAGTCCATGATTTTTCACGCCAAAGACTATAGTCCATGATTTTCCCCGCCAAAGACTATACTCCATGATTTTTCACGCCAAAGACTATAGTCCATGATTTTCCACGCCAAAGACTATAGTCCATGATTTTCCACGCCAAAGACTATAGTCCATGATTTTCCACGCCAAAGACTATAGTCCATGATTTTCCACGCCAAAGACTATAGTCCATGATTTTCCACGCCAAAGACTATAGTCCATGATTTTCCACGCCAAAGACTATAGTCCATGATTTTTCACGCCAAAGACTACAGTCCGTGATTTTTCATGTCAAAGACAATGAAAAATCATGGACTGTATAGTAAGGAATTTCGGTCAACTCAGTCCACTCTGACCAGCTAAGATGGGCCCTTAGGCCTTGGCAACCAATGCTTGCGTCGGTGAGGTTGTGAGCGGGCCGATTTGAACTGATCTCTTTACAGGACATAAATTCAAACAATTAACAAACAGTACCTCTGTTAAGAATTCTTGATTTTTTTTTGGTTACCATATTCAGGTGAGATTGTGAACTATTGTTGCCCGAGCGAAGTAAAATAATTTGTAATACAACCTTGTCTTTTCATAGTTTCAACTCAGACTGTTCACTTATGTAAGTTTATCCAAATTCAGTCAAAGCTGATGATCATTGATCAGTCAATGGCTTATCATGATACCCTGGAAGGTCGATACACGACAACCACCGAAACAAAGATCGCTTTCGATAAAAAAACCAAGCCAACTAATAAATTATGTTTTAGTCTTTCGTACTTCACCGATTCTACTCTAACGTTCAGAACTATTACATATCTGACATGAGTGGCCTACTCACATAATACGAATAAATAATGTAAATGTATGTAAATTCACTTTCATCATTTCAATAGAAATTTCAATACTGCACGCTGATTGGTTGAAAGCCGGTTGGATAATCAATGTACTCATTAGAAGCGACTACAATCAACGCAGAAGTTTTGAAAAATAATATATTTCTATGATAGTGGATGTATTCACATAACATTATTCTGAAAAAATGTCGTGATTCAAAATGAAATATTCTGTAAATTCGAAGAGGAAAAGAAATTAGTCTTGCTCTTGCTGTTAAAAAAAAAAACAAGACAGTTGAACTCTCTACAGCTTCCAACGTTAATGAAGCCGTACTATGAGACTAGGAAAACGCTTTTCTAGGAAATGAACCAAAATTAGAAAATCTTGTCACTTTTTCTATAGATACACGCGACATTATGCTAACGTTTTCTCGCTTATTCCTGTACTCGCTTTCCCGTTCTCACGGATTTACCAATTCGTAGTACGCATCATTTCTCTTGCGTTGAACGCGAGCACTGCACAACAATGACTTTGGTCAAGATAATGAAACTCCGGCTGCAGTGAAGTACTTCTGAAGGCAGGCTATGGCGTCTGGTGGCAGATTGGAATTTATCATTGTCATCACCTGGGAAAAGTTATTTATAAAAAAATTACAGTCGTGAAAAGTGTGTTCAGCTTATATGAAAATTTACATCTACAGAGACGGTGTCATAGGTTGGGTTAGGTAGCCGGGGTTTGACTACCAGAGATGAATATCAGACAATAAAACCTTCTCAGGTTTCTTCAAAGATATTTATTTTAGGCGTGCTAAGAAACAAGACCGAGACTCTCAACAATAACATAGTTATTTATTTATTATTTTTTTTGGGAAGGAAGCAGAACTAAAGACCTCCTACCCACCCTCATCGTCCTAAAAACACTGAACATATCAAAGTTAAACTTGATTAATGGATCAACAACGTAGAAGACGTTTGTTCTAAAAAAATACAAGATAGCTATTTTTTGTGCTAAAGTTTTCGTGCAATATAAACAGAACACGATATTTCTTGCTCTGAATGGTAAACGCATCGTGCCACTTGATGCTATAGCTATTGTCATCTTTGTTCTCAACAGTTCTTTTAAGAACTACTCAATTGTCATTCACTGTGACAAATACGTTGTTCAGAGCAATATTTAAGTTTGTAATCACAATCAAGTTTTTGCTTTATGATACTTCAAAGATACTTCAAAATAGAAGAGTTCTTGGTAGAGAACGGACAAGACAATTTAAAAGAAACTCCTTCCTTCGTGAGGGCATGTCTTTTAAATTTAAATTAGGAATATATTAAGAAGTACTTATCAACAAATTATAACGTCGAACTTTTCGTGAGCAGAACGCAGATACAATCATAACAAAAACAAAAGATAACAGGGATCTTAACTTTTCATCTTCTGGCGTTAATGTTTCGAAGTGTGAAAAATGCCTGACGTTTAAAACGTGTAAATTTCAAGTAACCCTTTAGAAATTGTTTTTTTTTACAGTCAGTTCAGTTCAGTGAATATCGACAAGTTACACTAGCTACGTCACTAGTCACCAGTCCGTTTGAGAAGCACAGATTACCTTTCCTGGATGCGCAGTAGAGAGTTTATTCAAACACTGAGCAAGGTAAACCTTTGCATCGGGTATTGTCTTGGATAAAGGATCGTGATCTGTAGATCCAGCAAACGCTAGTTGACAGTAAGCAGCTTGATATCCTGTAAACATTGAGCGATTGAGAAGAACGAAATCAGAGAATTGCTTGCTCAAATACTATAACTATATATGAGACCTACACAAGAACAAAAACACTGACCAAAAGCTGACTGATATACACAAAAGCATACCTGGAGTATCTTCTACTTCAATGAAATGTTCATCGTCAGGTACGGAGCTATCCTCTGGTAACTCAAAAACGGCAAGCAAAGCGGAAAGAAGGGGACACCTAAAGATTATACAATTGCTATATATAGCTAGCAGTTATCAACAGGATATTCATTTTTATGCAACTGGTCACTTACACCGACTAATGACTGGTAAATATTTTATACAACAACCAAAGAATGTTGTAAATATTTTATACAACAACCAAAGAATGTTTTGAATATTTTATACAACAACCAAAAAGTGTTGTGAATATTTTATACAACAACCAAAGAATGTTGTGAATGTTTTATACAACAACCAAAGAATGCTGTGAATGTTTTATACAACAACCAAAGAATGTTGTGAATATTTTATACAACAACCAAAGAATGCTGTGAATGTTTTATACAACAACCAAAGAATGTTGTGAATGTTTTATACAACAACCAAAGAATATTGTGAATATTTTATACAACAACCAAAGAATGTTGTGAATGTTTTATACAACAACCAAAGAATGTTGTGAATGTTTTATACAACAACCAAAGAATGTTGTGAATGTTTTATACAACAACCAAAGAATGCTGTGAATGTTTTATACAACAACCAAAGAATGTTGTGAATATTTTATACAACAACCAAAGAATATTGTGAATATTTTATACAACAACCAAAGAATGTTGTGAATGTTTTATACAACAACCAAAGAATGTTGTGAATGTTTTATACAACAACCAAAGAATGTTGTGAATGTTTAATACAACAACCAAAGAATGTTGTGAATATTTTATACAACAACCAAAGAATGTTGTGAATATTTTATACAACAACCAAAGAATGTTGTGAATATTTAATACAACAACCAAAGAATGTTGTGAATATTTTATACAACAAACCAAAGAATGTTGTGAATATTTTATACAACAACCAAAGAATATTGTGAATATTTTATACAACAACCAAAGAATGCTGTGAATGTTTTATACAACAACCAAAGAATGTTGTGAATGTTTTATACAACAACCAAAGAATGTTTTGAATGTTTTATACAACAACCAAAGAATGCTGTGAATGTTTTATACAACAACCAAAGAATGTTGTGAATGTTTTATACAACAACCAAAGAATATTGTGAATATTTTATACAACAACCAAAGAATGCTGTGAATGTTTTATACAACAACCAAAGAATGTTGTGAATGTTTTATACAACAACCAAAGAATGTTGTGAATGTTTTATACAACAACCAAAGAATATTGTGAATATTTTATACAACAACCAAAGAATGTTGTGAATATTTTATACAACAACCAAAGAATGTTGTGAATGTTTTATACAACAACCAAAGAATGTTGTGAATGTTTTATACAACAACCAAAGAATGTTGTGAATGTTTTATACAACAACCAAAGAATGTTGTGAATGTTTTATACAACAACCAAAGAATATTGTGAATATTTTATACAACAACCAAAGAATGCTGTGAATGTTTTATACAACAACCAAAGAATGTTGTGAATGTTTTATACAACAACCAAAGAATGTTGTGAATGTTTTATACAACAACCAAAGAATATTGTGAATATTTTATACAACAACCAAAGAATGTTGTGAATATTTTATACAACAACCAAAGAATGTTGTGAATGTTTTATACAACAACCAAAGAATGTTGTGAATGTTTTATACAACAACCAAAGAATGTTGTGAATATTTTATACAACAACCAAAGAATGTTGTGAATGTTTTATACAACAACCAAAGAATGTTGTGAATGTTTTATACAACAACCAAAGAATGTTGTGAATGTTTTATACAACAACCAAAGAATGTTGTGAATGTTTTATACAACAACCAAAGAATGTTGTGAATGTTTTATACAACAACCAAAGAATGTTGTGAATGTTTTATACAACAACCAAAGAATGTTGTGAATATTTTATACAACAACCAAAGAATATTGTGAATATTTTATACAACAACCAAAGAATGTTGTGAATGTTTTATACAACAACCAAAGAATGTTGTGAATGTTTTATACAACAACCAAAGAATGTTGTGCATGTTTTATACAACAACCAAAGAATGTTGTGAATATTTTATACAACAACCAAAGAATGTTGTGAATGTTTTATACAACAACCAAAGAATGTTGTGAATGTTTTATACAACAACCAAAGAATGTTGTGAATGTTTTATACAACAACCAAAGAATGTTGTGAATATTTAATACAACAACCAAAGAATGTTGTGAATATTTTATACAACAAACCAAAGAATGTTGTGAATATTTTATACAACAACCAAAGAATGTTGTGAATATTTAATACAACAACCAAAGAATGTTGTGAAT